GCCATTCAACACCATCATCCCGGTCATCCTCCACTCCAAACTGACCCAGCTCACTGTGCCTGCCCCCACCTGTCAGTGGATTACGAGCTTTCTGATATTTCTTCCTTGTTTTTTATATTACACAACCTCATGCTAGTTTACTATTTGCTTGCCCCTTGCATGGGGATATGTACATACACATTGAGAGCTGATGTACCAGAGTCAAATTTTTCGTGTGTTCGACACACCTGGCCAATAAAGAAGATTCTGATTCTGATTCATTATTACCAGCTGACCTGTTTGGGCATTTTTCGACAATTCAAATGCATCATTATCAATTTATTTTTGAGTATGACAAAGCTTATCAGGAGCAAAACAAACAAGCAAAAAAATAAAGTCACACTGACATTTTGATAGCCTTAAATCAATCACTCTCAACTAATTAAACAAGTATTGTTGCTTTTAACCATCAGGAATCTTTGTTACACCCATATGAACTGAATGCAGCATTAGTCTAACTTGACTTGCTATATGAGCCTGACAAGAGTTTTGCTTTGTTTTGTGCCAGGGGGTAATCATTCAGTAACTGCTCTTAAAGGTCACTAACACAGTGTTGCACAACACTAAAGCTACACACTTTAAATGAGCTGGGAGAGGAGAGGGGCAGGAGATTAAACTGCAAATGCATCTAAGCTCATCTTGAAGGTCTTGATTTTTTTATGAGCAAAGAGTCATAATGTGCATGCCTAATGAGCTTCTGATAAATGAGCTGATCAATATTAGCCATTCACAGCACAGTATATTATATCTCTGCCAGTAAGCTCCTGACCTGCTGTATCTCATGGGTCTACAGCTTCATTTCTGAGATACTGGGCAATGGGTTCATTTGCTGCCTTACACCAATTCCTCTAGGCTTGAGAGTAAAAGAAGTATATTCCTCACTATAATCTCTTCAGTACAGTGTGCTGTTTTCATGCTATTCTGGGGAGTAAAACTTTTACTGTCTGGTTTCTCGAACAGCTTTGACATAACTCGCCATTCATGTTTTTTGCTCTTGACTGTTCTGCTATTGAAGTTTCAGGGATAAATCTTGCCTATTAAAGTTGCTTCCCCATCAAGTTAATCTGGCACGTCTCCACCATTTCCATCATTCCTGCAATAAGGGGCTCTCAAGTATTCAAGAGCCCCTGATTCAGCCACAACCTGTTGCTTAGGTAATGGATAAGTGGACTGGAATAAGTGCCCGCTGCAACTGCCTGCTGCCTGTTCTCTGTTCTGTTTTTACTTCTCCCCACGTCCTCCACCTCTTTCTCTCTCACACAGCTTTTAAATGAGCTTTCTTCTTTTCATAGTGTTGTTATGAAAGAGTCATGTTTGGATGGAATTCAGCAATTTCCTTCTTGGCTGGCAAAAAAGAACATTGTCTAATTATGAGCACCACAGTCAATGAGTACAAACACCTGTCTTAATACACCTGGAGTTTCACAGCACTCCATCCTGCACACAATAATCAGCATGTAAACACTCAGACAGGAGGGTTAATGGCTTAGAGGCCACACATGGAAAATGACTGAGATGGACTGACCATGTCTGATTCTACTCCTCTCTGCTCTGGCAGCAGGGGCTTCTCCTCTGTGAACTGCTGCTCCTTCATCCCCGCCATCCTGGACAGCAACCTGCAATCACACACACACACACACACACACACACACCTAAGGTGTTACACTTTAATTTCATCATGCAGAGTACTGAATGTGTTTTGTCTTAAAAAATAATCTGCATTTGCATTATCCCGGTGTGATACATGATAATGGCAGTTCTGTTTCATTTAAATGTAATGAAACAGTGACATCCTTCATGGAGTAAATTCACAAACTGACACTGAAATTATGGAAACCAGCAGTAAACTGACAGAATGTTCTATTATACTGGAGTAGTCTGATCAGCTGACAGATGAGAAACTGACTGGAAACAGAGAAGATAGAATCAAGAGGACAATTTTGCTGAAAACCGTTACTTAAAGACACATTACTTAAAAAAACATCTTTAGTACAGTACACACTATATCTGCAGAAAAAATGAATAGAAATTTTATTTCCTGAACCAAGGGCTTTTGAAAAGCTCCTTATACTTTGCAACTCTATAAATGCATTGAATGCACTTCCTTCCTCATAAAACATGACAAACATGATTAAAGAATTAAAGCAACTTGAAGTTTGCTTTGCTTATTTGCATGTTTATGTATTAGCAGTCTCCTTCCTTCTGCTTTTCCTGTGCTTTTTGCAAGTAAGGAGGTAAAACTTTATTTAAGTAGCAGCTTCCAAAACCAGGGTTACACAGTGCTTTACGGTGAAAAAGGATTAAAAATTGTGTAAATACACAACACATACAAATAAAACACATACATATAAACATAAGCATACACACATATACACACATTCAAATATGCAGTACATATAACAAATACAAGTAAGGCATGAAAAGATCAATAAAAAGCCTTTGTGAGTAAACAGGTTTTAGGAAGAGATTTACTGTAAAATGCTCAACAGAGTTTGCTGATCTAACTTCCAGAAGGAGAGTTTTACATAGACCTGGGGCCAGAACAAAAAAAAAAAGATTGGTCACAACAAGTCTTAAACTTTGAGCAGGGCACAACTGGGGGTATTTGTTTTGATGACCTGAGAGGCCTGGAGGACCTGCAAGGGAGCAGCAGCTCATTAATATTAATAGATAAGTGCCTTTTAAGTTATTAGAAGGGTTCTTGGTGCATTACCACCATCCGCTGATCACTGGAATAATGTGAAACCATTGACAGATACACAATGTGTATGGTTATGTGTTGATCATGGGTATGTATGTCCTTGTACAAGTGCATGAGAGAAACCAAATATGGGCCCACTCATAAAACATTGCTCTATAGCAGTGCCAGTGGTCAAAAACTCCACAGGATTCCATTAGTTTTGCTGGATTTGTAGAGGATGCCTGTACCAAAGTCCACTGCAACAGGAGAATTATAATAGGAAGCACTCAAAAATACACAGATTGGTATTATTAATGTTATAATATTTTTAAGCACTAAACAACATGTCAAACAAGTACAACAAACACTGCCTCTCTCCACTAAACTACAAATCAGTCCTTGTGAGGTAACATCTAAACTGGAGAGAAGCGATAGAAAGCCTGCACTGACCACTCATATTATCTTTTTCCAACGTACAGTATCTACAAAAACACAGATAAGTGATGTACACACACACACAGTCAAAACACACATGTATAATACACAAAGACACTACTACACACTGATACAGCCACACTTAAAGAGTGAGGTAAGGCAGCATCAATCACACAAACATGTCCCCCCCCACCCCCCCCACACACACACACACACACACACACACACACACATACACACAGGGGTAAGTCAGCTTCTATGAACATCACTGCCCTGACTGAGGGACTGTTGGCCTCATTACTCAATGTCCAAACTGGCAAAAGAGTACAAGACTACCCTTCTGTCAAACTCTGTGATTTACAACCTCCAATGAAGTCAATTTTCACACCTCCTCCTCCACATTCTCTTTTCCTTTAGGTTTACTGTAATTGTTTTCTTAGGTGGAGCAAAGAGGAAACTCGAGACCTTTGGACTTTTCGAGACTTTCTAGGAGTGGGATACATATGCCCCTTCTGCCATGCGGGATATAACAGCAAACAAAAACACTCCTGCAAAGACACATGTACGTTGTGCTGTGAGTCATCCTGGCTTCTTGGTCAACAGCCTGTGTACTGTAAGGACTGTAACAGGATGTGTCAATCCAAAACATGTTTTGAAAAACAAACAAAAGAAATACTACCCCAATGTAAAAAAAAACAAAACACATTAGCAACAGTTATCAAAGCAGGAAATGTAAACAAAGCAAGAAACTGTACTACATGGTATTAAAAAACCCACAATCATGATAGCATAAGATAAACCATGTAACATTTACAAAAAAAAAAGGCCAGTGCCGACAACCTGACACACAAATGCTTTATTCAATGCCTAAAACCCCAGGAAGAACACCGAGTGGATCATCTTTTATGATTTTGAAGCTTTTGTGAATGAGCGTTCCTTATTACGTGTCAGCACTCACATATGACAGGAACACCTGGTCTGCCTGGGGGACAGATTATGTCTTAAACATGCTCCATCCACACATTTTTGGAAACCAGAACAAAACGAATACAGGTTCACAGCACCTAACACCTACAGTTTTGACACCTTCCTCCTCAGGCCATTGACAGAGCAACGCATCACACAAAACCTTATAATGCAGGGTTCCAAATTCATCTGCATGAAGGCCCTGCTTTTTCCCAGTGTTACATTGACTTGCTCTCTTTTCATACTTGTCCAAAAGGCAAAATCTATGGGCTTTGCAGATTCAAAGGTCAAAGGTCAAAGTATACTTTATTGTAATTCAGACCATACAGCTAGGAGTGCACCGCAGAATGAAATGACATTTCTCCAGGTTCAATGTGCAAGAGATATAAAAGGCAGACAAGACAAACAAGGGAATATGCAGAAACATAGACAAGATATTCACAAATAGAATTGAACTTAAATAAAAATATTCCACCTGACAAGAAATATTGCACTGAATAAGAAAAACTGAGTGAATTAAGCAGTCTTATGGCCCGTGGAAAGAAGCTCTTACACTGCATACTGCGATAGCACCCCTTTCTACCAGCTGAGGCCTATGGGGCAGCTCAAATGTCACCCAATGAGCAAAAAGTGTTTATGATTATGCCCACCTTCACAAAATTTTCGATTTCTAAGAATCGGCAATACTGTATTGTGACAATGATGTGAAAATCCTCTGCCAGACATTCAAGATCTTTCATGAAAATGTCATCTCAGACACCCGTTGTGACCCATTCTGACCATTGCTGCAGCCTGTCTGAAAGTGTATAGGACAAATTTCCTGGCAGTAAGCACAGCTGCCATCTTGTGTGTATCCAGTTACGTACAGCAGTACAAGAGATTTTCTTCCGTGTCCATCCAGTCGTTGGAATATGTGGCACAAACGCGTAACATCCACGTCTAACATGCACTGAAAAGCAGTGAGAAAAAAAAAAATCAGTGATTACCACGTGGACAGGTATGCTGTCATTGATGGGTCAGCAGGTGTTTTTATCACTGCTACCCAGAGTGTTTTAACTCTGAGGATGTCTGACCTCTCACCAAACAGACATTTTGGTGAAAAGTATGAGAAAACCATGGAGAAACAGTAGAAATAGGCTAAAGACTACTGGGCGACTGTCATGTTCAGTTTGTATTCTTATATTTTGTTCTTTTAGGACCTAGTTTGTTTGATATTGGTGTTTGTATTTTTTCCTTATTTTGGGGTAAATAAAAGGCCCATCTTTTCTGAAATATTAATGTTGTGTCCTCCGCGTTACTGTTTAGTCCCTGACATTTTATATTTGTTTAGCTAGCTAATTAATATTACCTTCATGTCCATGGGTTTCTTGAATACTAATTCCACAAATTGATTATAAATTCACAAAAAATTTATAGTAGAGCACGATAAGGAAAAAATAAGCCTGTTTGTACACCTACAGTAGAAAAATAGAGTGACAAGTAACACCAGTGTTAGATTTATTCTATATTTTCAAACAATATTTCACTTTAGGGCTACATAAGAAAAGGATCTGAGAATGAGGACTGACAGAGGAGTTTGGTAAAACCAATGCTACTCAGCAACTTTGGCTGGGGTTGCTTATGTGTAAAACTTTCCCAAATAATTATGAGCAGGATGCTAACATCCTACACTCTGATGAATAGCAGCCTCGACAAGCTTATGCATAGTGGCAGAATACTGAACAATATATTGTAGGTGATAGCTGTGAATGGGGCTTTTTGTAATAGCAGATCTATTCCCTGTAGCTAGCTAGTAAAGCTAGTAATAATCTCCCTGGTCTTGGAAACAATGCCACTGTTATATATTCTTGTGCACAGTTACTTAGACGGACACCACGTCTCCAACACAAGCAGGTTTATTCAGCCAAATTGTACACCTTCTCTATATCTCAGGCGCCAACGTACACAACCCAGAATGCCTTGCCCCCGAACTACGGCAACCGTATGCAGACACTAACCCATAATACATTACATCTTCACCCTCCCAACTGGGGCATCAACCGTTCCGCACTCTCACTTAACACAATAAAGTAATATTAGTGACTAACATATGCAATGTAAGTGACCCAACCATGCCCCCCACATACGAACCAATTTCAACTCCTTAATAACATTTTCCTGCCTTGAACTCTTCAACAGTGCAGAACACAACATTGGCATTATTAATACCACAACTACATCTTGCATATTATGGTTCATAGCGCTGTGGTGCTTTTATGGTTCGCTGTGAGCGCCGCAGACCAGTGTCTGTCAGTGCTGGCTCTTCAGTGTCCTGTGCCTCCACTGGCTCCAGAGTAGTGTCTGTAAACCCCTCCGGCTCCGGAGAAGTCATGGCTCTCTCCATTCTGGGTCTTAATTGGTCACTATGTCGTCTGTAGATAATGTCCGTGTCACAACCTTTAACCTTGAAAGAGATTGGACCTGTCTGTTGAGTGATGACACCCGCTATCCACTTCGGTCCCTTGCCCGTTGTGTCACGCAGATAAACAGGTTCAT